AATACCTGTTTGAGCCCCCGCCCTGACCCCCCCGTACCCGTTCCCCGGAGCAGCGCAGGGACACGGGGATCTGTGGAATCACTGCCGCCTTCCCTGTGGTTCTCCTCCTCTCCCGGCAGCCTCTGGACGCTGTGGAATGCTGGAATGCTGAATAAAGCCGGGGCTGCTGGCCCTGCTTCCCTACATTGTGACCTCAGGGTCAGGTCCTTGGGGACGTTCCCACCTCGCTCCGGCACGTCCCATCCCGCTGATATCCCTAATTCCCACCTGCCCCCTTTTCCCCGGCTCCCAGGGAGGTGGCCCCACACCCGGAAGGGCTGTACCCCCCTCCCGAAGTGCTCCAAGCTCCACGTTCCCGGTGCTCTGGGACTCCCCGGAGTCCCGTTGTTGCGGTTGCCGGGAGACCGAGTCGCATTCCGCGGCAACATTCCACACCCTCTCGGCCGGCCGGGAAGGCCGGGAGCCGCTGCCAGCACCTCCAGCCATGGCGTAGGGCCCTTCCCTGGGGCTATCCCGGTGCCAGGATGCCTTCCCTGCCGCAGGATTCCCCCGCCGGGGGCTTGGGCACGGGATTCCCGCTGGTGAGGGTGCACGGCGGGGACCGCTCCGACCTGCTGAGCCTCTACGTCACCACCTACGAGGCGTCCTTTGGGAAGAGACCCCCGGGATTGTCCCACAAGTTCGAGGGGCGTGTTTTGGGAGTCAAACCCCCCAACCAGGCGTCCGTGCACCCGCTCCTGGGGGTCCATTCGGGATCCGGATACGTCACCAACAACTACTCTGCCCTCTCGTCCCTGATCACCCCGCGCCCCGAGTGGTAGGTCCCCGCTCCGGGACGAGTCTGGGGGGGAAAATGTTGGGATCGCTCCGTCACGGCCGTTCCCGCCGCAGCCCGGACCCCTTCGTGTCCATGTCCGCCACCTCCGAGGATTTCAGGCCCTTCGGGCGCCCGCAGTTCCAGAGGATCCTGCCCCAGTGTGTGGATGAGCCGGAGTGTTCGTATCCCCCCGAGTTTTCCCTCTCCCGGATCCGTTATGAGGGGCTGAAGCCTCCCAAGTTATCCAGGGGATCCAGTGCCAACAGCGGCTGCTCCAGTCCTGCCCAGCCAGGTATGGATTTGGGAGGGGGGGGATCCAGGGAAAGCTCCCTAGGAGGGTTTGGGGTGTCGGGACCCCAGGGAAAGCTCTGTTCCCAGGAAGGTTTTGGGGTGTTGGGATGCCAGGAAAAGCTCCATCCACACCAGAGTTTGGGGTCCTGGTGGTTCCAGGCCCAGCTCCATCCCCAGGAGGGTTTGGGGTCCTGGTGGTTCCAGGCCCAGCTCCATCCCCAGGAGGGTTTGTCATATTGGGATCCCAGGGAAAACTTCATCCCCAGGAAGATTTTGGGGTCCTAGGGAAAGCTTCATCCTTGGGAAGATTTTAGGATCCCCAGGAAAAGCTTCATCCCCAGGAAGATTTTGGGGTCCTAGGGAAAGCTTCATCCTTGGGAAGATTTTAGGATCCCCAGGAAAAGCTTCATCCCCAGGAAGATTTTGGGGTCCTAGGGAAAGCTTCATCCTTGGGA